GACTCTAATCTGCTATTGGAGTTAACAATTTCCCATATTAAACTCTCCCTGCTGAAATCACTGCGTAGTTTCAATCTCATTATTGCACAGAATGATACATCCCACAACTCTTCTGATGGGACCAACTTCTTCCCAGTCACCCTCAACTTTTAGGCCCTAGCTCAGGCTTGGGCTTGTGACCCCAACCTATTCGATCTGATCCAAGAAATTGGTTCTGGGAAAGGCAAATCACATTCAGTTTAGTGAGACCCAATCCTGAGACCTCCTTCTCCCAGTCACATCACCCTTCCTCATATTATCCTCAAATGACCAACACTATCACTTGGTCGAACTGATCCTATCCATGGCGCGGAGGATGGTAAGGGAAAGCAGTAAGTGCTGACCAAATTTTAAAAATCAGCACATCCCATTTCCCTCCCCCCAAATAATTAATTCAGAGATAAGTACCTAACTCATAAGCCGACAGGACTGACAAGACTATGGAACTTTTATTTGAGCTATTAGGGAAGAGAATTTACTCTTTGTTGCCATCTTTAGTCTAGAAGTGGGTAAACTTGAGAATGGTTAGCAGCTACCTCAGGACTGTGAGAAAAGGTCCTACAGAGAAGAGGAAATAGGAACCTGGTTCTTGGCATATTTTTGTGCCTTGATCAAGGCTTGCCTGAAGCTAATTTCCTCTAGATTTCTTCGTTGGCTGAGCCAATATATTCCCTTTTTAAAATGCCATGTTGAATTGGGGTTCTCTTATTTAAAGTGGAAAACATACTAATTCTTATATTTTTATTCTAGGTGAGATCACAGCAATATGCACATGTACCCAACATGCAGAGCTTGCTTTCTTTATGTCTCCCCCAATAGCCTATAAAGTTTTGAAGGCAGGGACTGAGACTTAGTCACCTTTGGAGTTATCTAAGCACAGTGTCTTATATATAGTAGGTATCCAGTAAGTACTTCTTGAAAGGATAACTGAATACATAAATTCCAAACAGCCCAGCTGCATGAAGTTAATGCCACGATAGCTCTGACAGAAAAGATATGCTAAGGGACACCTGAGTGGCTCAGTCGGTTAAGTGACTCTTAATCTCAGCTCAGGTCATGATCTCGGGTCTTGGGATCGAGCTCCGCATCCGGCTCCATGCTCAGTGGAAAGTCTGCTTGAGGATTTCTCCCCCTCTCCCTCTGCCCCTCCCCCTGCATGCTCTCTCTTTCTCAAATAAATAAATTAATTTTTAATTAAAAAAAAATATATGCTAAGAACTGGGGCAATAATTTCTATCTTTATAATCAAAGACAAGGCTATTTTACATCAATTAACTGCTCTTCTTCACCAGAGCTACATTAGAGCTGAAGGACTAAACTATTGAAGGCAACTATTGAGAAATAATCCATTACTGAGGAACACAACACGATTTTAGGCTAATGCCACAAAAAACACAGGTAATATTAAAGTCTGCCTCATCAGCACCTCCCAAACAAGGCGAGAGCAGCATCAGATCTGGCCCCTGATGGCTATGAAGGTATTCTGACTTCTCTGGGAAACTGATTAAGGGATTGTTGTTTTGCTATTTTGCCATTCCATTTTCTAGAGAGAAATTCTGAGATAATCAAGAACATCATTATTCCAGGAACTAGCCTGAGGGTAGAAAAAAGGGGGTTGTTTTCTCTAATACATACATGTCAAGATGAGTTTGTGTGTGTAATGCCATCACCAATGCTAAGAATTGACAATACATTCTGATTACATTAATTCAGAGTCTAGGGAAAGTAAATATCCCTCTTCATGATCATCAATTGCAATGCAGGATTCCTTGAAAAGTCTAAAATGCCACATATCAACCTATTGACAATGTCAACTGATTGCAGGATACATCAGGTGACTGGCTAGGGAATCACTCACCAGCAACTTCAACAAGGAAAGTGATTATAATTCAGTATTTTTTAATGATGTCTGATGTGCAAATGATTACTTTAGCTTTCCTCAGGAACATCAAATTTCCACCTAGGTGATAACCCAGCTTTGAACTATATTTCACCCACTAATCCATCACTATCGTCCTGAATTTAAACAACTACAGTAGCAAAAACCTTTTGCAGTCATGAGAATCCTTAACATGTTTAAAAAAGAGCTCAACATTAAAGCATAACAAACTTGCATAACAAAACAAGGAGCTTCATACGGCCAAAGAGAATATTTGTATGTCATGTGAAAAGACAGATCTTCAGCAGTCATGTAAATGTAAGTTTCCGAACATAATTTTAAGGTAGCGGATGTAAAGACCTCTACCGTGCCAATTCACACCCTCTCCACCGATATCCTAATTCTTTACTCATCTTTACAGTGTGAATTATACCTGACTACTTGATTTGCTGACAATTACTTATTGGGGTACAAGGCAGAGAATGAAAGTGGGTATTTTAGGAGAATAAACCAACTATCCTTCATCTACTCAGTGTATTATTGATGGGAAAACATGAATATAAGTTTCTGATAAGGCAATTCCATCCGTGTTCCTGTAAGTTATTCAGAAATGAGAAAAAATCATTATCTGGAGAGAAGAGCAATAAAAATTTGGCATACGGCCTAAGAGATAAAAAGTAAAATGCATAATGCTTAAACCTAAAAAGGTTACCATGGCAGGAAGCTGCAGACTCATGGAGGGTATTACTCAAGCATCTGAACCAAAAGAAAACGGAGCCACCACTTTTATGGAAAAATCACCTGTCACTCTTTTTTCTTACCTATGTTTGTGATAAGGAAATTCATTTTTTTTAATCTGGAAAAACCCTTAGAAAAGGTGTAGATGACCATTTCTAACCTGTCCCATCCAAACACATAAAGATATTTTCTTCATCTGAGTTAAAAACAAATAAGTAGATGCTCCAACGACACTGGCTTGTTCATGAGAGAATGAGCTGCTATGGAAAAGAACGAAAAGCTAAAGGAGAATTATATACCATGTTCATTTGTAATGGATTGTTGATACGCTGTCGGTTTTTTGTGGGGGGGGGGGTAGCAACAGCCCCAGCATATGAAACCCTGACTCAGCGAACCCACAGCACAGACCGGCCACAGCCTGGTTCAGCGGCCGCCCCGGCACTGCAGTTCCTCGTCGCTCCACAAGAGAGCGACATCCCACCGCGGCTGCCTCCGCAGAAGCTGCGCTCTAAGCAGAACAAATGTGTTTATTTAGTCTACGATCATTTTTAATTTTACTACTGACAGTCTGACAGAACTACTTAATATTGCTGGGTTGACCTCTCCGTGATTTTGTGCTACCCCCCCCCCCCTTTTTTAAACTTCCCTTAATCTGCTGTGTCGGGAAGAGAATACGTTTGACTCCACAGGACGACAGGCCTGCAGTGATATGATCAGTAGACAGCCCTGGTCAAAACAAACGGGCAGAAAGGCAGGATTACAGGCGGGAACTGGGGCTGTACCTCACACGGCACCCTGGATGCACAAGGAGCCCTCTCTGCATGTAGGCAGCTCAGGGAGAATAGCCTGTCATCACTCCCTAGGAATGGCTGAACAGGGCGTTCCACAGCACAGAACAATAACATATGGGATGTAAAGTTAATTTCTTTAGGTTCAGTCCTGTTCCCCCCTGGGAAAGGAAGATTGTCCATCTGGGGTAAGATCTTTCTGAAAATGTGGTCTTTAAAGTCTCTAAAAACCTTTAAAGGCTGTAAGGGAAAGATAACAAAACTTTTTCTCCCACACACGTGAGAACAACGTAATTTGTTGCTCAAAAGATGCACATAGCCACTTGGAACCTCAGGAATGACAACCACCAGTGCAATCTGCAAGGGGTTCCAGGGATCTGAAAATAGCAACATGGCTGCCATTTACCACACATTTACTTTGCACCAAACTCTGTAAGAAATGCTGCATAGGAATGGCACCCATTTTAAATCTCTCACAACTCTGAGGGCTATACAGCCATTAGCCCTGTGTTAACAGATAAAGTATCTGATATGTAAGGAGGTTATGTGGTGGATGACAACACAGTAATGGCCACAGCTAGGGGAACTAAACCAGCAATAGGTTGATTCCCAAAAAAAGAAAACCCGTGGTTCACATCCCATCATCTAAGGACCCTGAGATCAGTCCAAAGTTGGTGCCAATTGTCCAGGAATGAAATTCACTGAGGTCATGAAATAGAAACTCTCTAGGCAGAAGTCATATTCCGAAGCAATTGAGTTACATCATTTTAGTTCAGAGGACTGAACTATCCGAGTTGCCAATAGAGGCCAGTCAACAACTAGAAAAGCAGAGAGAGGCCCAGTTGTCAAGGACTGCAAAGCTTGCCCTGGCCCCTAGTCCAGTAAAATTTGTGACGAGGGTAGGGCTCCACTTCCATCATGAAACAAAAATGCTGAAAGAAACCAAGGAACTATGATAAGCGAGGCACTTATAATAGGGGTCTATGGGTTAGTAGGACATGTAACTGCCCAGTTATGTTAGATGCCAGGCTTGGTGCAAAAAGATTGACCTTAGCCAAGAGATGTGTAGACAGGGCTCTTTATTGCCAGACAAAGGTACATTCAAAGTCCCTAATTCTACAAAAGTGCAAGGCTGGAGCAGGTAACAAAATGTAATTCAACACATGATCCATATTAAGGTGGGCATAGGTGGTCATTTGGCCAGCTAACCGGAAAAGCTGACCTCCTCTGAATTACCACATGGACCAGCACTAATCTGAATCTCAAGATAGGGCCAAGGCAGGTACACAATGCTCAGCCTCTGCAGCCTAAAAGAATATACAGTTTTGCACTCCAAGAAGTAAGGGAGGGATCCAAACTCAAGTGAATCCTCTATAACTTCTTGAGTATATTATTGAATATAATTTTAGCATTAGAAAAATTGGGGGGTATACCACTTGGGTGAGTAAGCAAGCTGGTGAGCAATGAAACATCATCAGAGCAGTTCCGAGCTCCAATATATTTAGTCACTATTGCCACCCCCCCAAAGCAAGTCTTGATAAGTTCCACATACGTACAATTTTCAGATGAGATAAAAGTCTCATGACATCTGCCATGTCCGCCAGGATGAGTAAGCGTGTTACAGCTGAGAGCAAAGCCCTCGCTGCCCGCACCATGGTGCCACGCTTCACCGATGAGCACGGGTCATCAGCAAACTCTGAAGAGGCGATGCGCATTGTCTCACCTGGAAGACAAAAACGGAGAGGCATGTGAGTGGACGGGAAGCTCAGAGGCTAGCAATCACCCATCCATGTGCATGGATGATTATTGTTCCTATTATAAAACCCGCCATGAACAGGAGGTCCTCCTGCTACCTCCATCACAGCCCACCTTTCAAGGCAAATGCATCAGTGCACACTGGACAGGGGCTGTGGACAAAATAAGGTGTTCATTTCACACAGAAGTGTGAAATTGTGCTTTAAACATCAATAAGGAATATATTCAATTCCATTTGTCTAATAGTTGAGATGAATTTGCCCTGACCTTAATCATTCTCATTTTCCATTTCCCTTGGAAGCAATGGGATTTACTAGGCAGCTAGTGGAGCTTACTGACAGTTGAGGTACAACGTTAAGTGCTCCACAGAGGAATGAAACTAAAACTCTGGCCTCATTAACAGTGTACTCTTAATTGAACTAATCAGACAATAATAGGCTACAGAGATACCCCAAATGTAGTCTTTTAATACTCTGCTAAGAAGCTATTCTCTAATAGAGAGAACATTTATAGGAGAATTGAACCAATTCAACAAACCCATACTATGTCAGATATTATTAAGCTCCGGAATTACAAAGGTGACTGAGGACACCCTAGTCTCAAGGGGTTCACCATCTAATAAGGGAACATGATGTAAATACATACTTATAGTATGTATGACTACATATCACAATGCACATACGATTAAGCATGTACAGAAAGAAGGGGGAGTGATTTACTTATTTAGTGTGAGGCTGGGAGAAGCCGTCAACTTTGATGGGCTTTGAAGAACGAAGAGGTGTTCCCCAGAAAGACAGCGGCGGGAAGAGCACCCTTGGCAGGGTGAACGCCGTGTGAGGCTCTGAACGTTGGAGCAGGATACTGAGTGTCAGGAACTACAGTCACATGGGAGGCACAGTGAGGAAGGGGTACAGAGGAGAGGTGGTGGTGTTGAGGAAGCTGTGAAGGAGATCCGAACGGGGTCCTCAGCAGGGAGGGAAGTGACATCAATAGATTTTTATTTTGACTATATTTCATAGAATAAACTGAGGGAGACAAGCTAAGGGCAGAGACACAAGTCATTAGGGCAAAGGCATTAGAGTCTGAGAGGAGCAATAACGAGGGCCTGGATGGACCAGGGAAGTAGAAACGGGATACAGAGAGGATGGGCATATTGAGATTTGTATTAGAGAAAAGAGCGGATTTAGGGACTGACGAGAGGTGGAGACCGGAAAGAAGGTGGAGTGGTTGGCGAATACTGAGTATTTGTACAAAGGGACCCAGCAGTGGGAAGCAAAGATCAATGACTAGGATGACACACGTCCCGTATCAGTGGACGGGGCGTACCACCGGGGGTTGACGGGAGCATAATGAAGCCTCACATAGCAGAGCATACACAGTGGCAGTAAAAGCTTTGTCAGTAAACTTGAAGAATAGAGTTAATATGACCAATTATTTGATTTAGGGTAAAGCAATTCATTCAATATTTCATTTTTAGAAATGGTTATTTCTCATCTGTTAATCAAAACCCAGCTCATTTAAATAAAGTCAATTGTACCATTGAAACACTGGGCATCCTGTAATTTATCCTAAGATACAAGAGAAAAAAAAATAACAGCTCTTACCATTTCACAAGCAGATCAGAATATAATGTAATTCACTCAGTGTTACAGTTACTTAAACCCTCGAAGGGATACTTTTCATGCTTAGGTGTGTCAGGAAATAGAGTATGCTGTTAGATTTTTAAAAGAAGCTACCATTTACAATAAGCATATTATATAGCCAACCAGCTTAGTCCCAGTGCCTAGACACAAATAGCTTGATATATAACAGCATGGGAGAAATGTAACAATTCATTACCGGATGGGCACAAAGTCAAAAAGATGAATTTCCAAGATGTCTGGCCCTCCAGGACTAAATAAGGTGGAGGCCGGCAATTAGGAAATACATATTTAATTCAGGTGTCCCACCCTTGCTACAACAGGATTACATAAATCTCCTCATCCCCCGAACCCTGAAAAAGAAGGACTCATTGGCAGATATCCATGCTGTGAGGAGAAAACCAGCTCATTCTCACCCTGCGTCGCGCAGCAGGAAAGAACATTCACAATGGTAGGTGAATCAAACGAAACATGGAGAAGGTCACCACAGCTAAAGATGGACATATCTGCGTATGGTATTAATGGGTGGAGCAGCTGCTGTGGAATCAATCTACTTACTCAAGGAAAGCAGAGATTTATTCTGCATATAAACCTAGTGAGCTACATGGTTGATCCCAAATTCTGCAAGTTAAACTGGTATATAAGCCACAGTAACAGTAGATCACTCAGGTAGGGCTACTCTGTACACAAAGGACCCTGGGAGGCAAGCCTAGTTGCACCCCTCAGCATGTGGAGGAACCATGCCTAATGAAACTAATATTCAAGGTCAGGTTTTTATATTTTATATGTCATATTTTTATATGACATTTTATAATGCCACTTAATCCAGGTGTTGGCCATTCGGTCAGCAATACTGCTTCAAAACTAGGAGTAACACACAGCAGCATCAAGCTGTCAGGTGCAGCTCATCGACCTGGGGCCCCCCCAAAACAGGCACCCCAGGAAGGGACTCTGGAGATGTCCGTGAAAGGGGAGGGGCAAGGGGAAGGGTAGAGGTTGAGAGAAGGAGACCCACATTAGTAAATGTGACTCTGCAAATGGAAATCTCATGCTAAATTCTGAGATTATTTTAAGATAAATAGAAGATGATCTAATTCAATTTAAATTACAACTAAAAACTCATTTTAAGCAGGTACAAATGATTTCATGTTGTTAAAGATTTTAAAGGAAAAGCAATCTGAAGTCAACTACAACTTTAATGCATTTTATATCCCTGTAGTTTTAAGATTACTGAATTAAAATGGAAATCTATATTATGCAATGATAAGCGAGTTTATCAGGATAAAATTAGCTCTTTTCCCAGGGAACTGCTTTTTCTGTAAGACTAAAATATTTAGCTAAGAAAGAGCATGCATATGTAGGAGATGGAAGGGATCAATGAAGAGGGGATAACAGATCTGCCTGTTTCTTTTATATATACCACTGTGTTCAATCTCAATTACTTGATATGGACCTAAGCTCAGAGTAGGGTGTCTCTAGTAAAGTCTTTGGTCTCCTCAAGCCACTTACCACCTGCTGGAAAGAAGAAAAATTAACATCTCCAAATAAGTGACCAAAGGGAAATAATAGCAATTAATATGCACAGAGCGTTTTTATATAAAGGTTTATTATGTAAGTATTGTTCTAAAAACTATATATGGATATATTGTCATAGATTAAAAGATAAGTAATCTTTACAATCACAAACCACGCCAACCATTACCAAAAATTAGACTTGAGGATTATTCAACCTCTGTGTTTCAGTCACCTCAACTGCAAAACATGGGGCCAAAATAATGAGAGCGGCCTTGTGGACTGCCATTAGGGTTAAAGTATAGAGGTGATGCAGTCAAAGCCCCCAGCTCAAGGCTTTACCCATAACGAAGGCTTACTCATTATTGTCATTAATACTACTGCTACCACCATCACTGTGTCCTCTCTGTGACAAGAACCATTCATGAACTCCTGGTTAAAGATTTGGAAGTGCTTTTTGTTGGTTGATTCCACTCCTGCATACATAATAATTTAGAAGCAAGAAAACATCTGCCCAATAAAAATACTTATTGTTTTAGGGCAGAAAATGACTCCCCTCCCAAATGGTTCCCCTGCTTGGCTTGCAAATCGGTGCTTGTTCTGGTTCTTATGCTACCGTGGCGGCACTAGGGGATGGACAGATAATTGTGCATAAGCTTGAGGTAATATCAACTCAAATGTGGAATGATGCAGGATGGTAATAATACTTAGAAGAGAGGGATAACATGCAGAGGGCAGAGTCTCAGGAGTAGAAAAGTCTTTTCGGAAGCAGATTATGAACCAAAATGGCATGAATACCATGTAGTGCATCCTTTGAAGGGAGAGCCTGCATGCAACAGCTCTCTTTAAATACTTGATAAACGAACTATGGGAAAACTGTGGAAAGTGGGGGGAAAAGGTATGATGCAAAGCTAGGTTCAGAGAGTGTTAAGCTGTCTTCCAGAAAGTTCTCTATGCCTATATGTTTAACCAGCATTTATCGTATGTAATATCTAAAACTGCATATTCTCTTTTGTCTAGTTATATAAATTCTCCTTTAATTACATAGATTTTTCTTTGTCTAATTGCATAAAGTATCTAGCATATATTGATGGTTCATGTTCTTGATATTTTCCCATTGTAGAATTCCTAGAGAAGATGAGAGATTAAGAGCAAAAAGTTCTAACCCTCTTAGCTATGATTTGTTCCCTTTTCCCAATAACCTAGGCTTCCTCAGAACCTTTTTCATACATATTTTCCTTGAAGTACAAATCTTAAAAGATCCTGAGAAATGGATCCTCTACAGCAATGGAAAAAATGCAATATATTTTAAGAGAAGAAAGTTTAGTGAGGTCTAATACCTGACCACTGCTTCACAAACTCTTGGCTAGTTCTGTCCCCCAAACTGTACATCCCCATGGAGCCACAGACAGAAGTGAAGGAATAGACACAACAGGATTTTTAAATGATAACTGAGTGGACAGTGCACATCTTCTGAATGTTTTATCATTTTGATTATGTCGTAGAATCTGTAAAGCAATGCAGTGCTTAAAAACAATTTACTGCTGTGGTTAGCTCATTTCTGAAGCATGGTGGGAAATATATATCTTCATCTGAGATAAAGCAAATTAAATGCTAAATGAATGGTCAATGTGAGGAGCATTTCTCTATTTGCTAAATGGGATGCTGCCCAATTCATGAATTGCTTAATAAAGCCAATTAGATCTTCCAATTTAAAAAACAAACAAAACAAAACAAACAAACAAAAACACCAGAATGGTCAATGTAGAGAACATCATGGAAGTTACAATGTTACCAGAAGAGATCTTGATACATT